AAATCCCCGGCGCTAGCCAGCGAGCAAAGCGAGCGGCGCCGAGGTCAAAAGGTGAGTGGAAATTCCCTGGTTTTTTGGGTCGATGTACTACCCAGGGGTTTTGATCAAAAACCGGGTTCACGACAATTCCTGGATTTTCCCATTTTTTCCCATTTTCCCCCACCAAAAATGTTTCGACGATTTTTTGGGTCGATGTACTACCCAAGGGCTTTGAGCAAAAACCGGGCAAAAAGGGGCGTGTGATCCAGAATCGGCTCTTCTCTACTACTATTTGAGGTAGCTCACTCGGCGAATACACTCTCCTAATCTGCCGAACCCGGTCTATACTCTGCTCGATATGGGACAGAGGGGTACCCTACCCCCTTTATATACATGTACATGTCCAATCACTTTACACACTCTATACTATTGTGACCTAAGGGTGCACCCTAATATTTAGGCCAGAAATATGTCCGCCGAGCTCATTAATAAAAGTTATACACTAAAAATATTCTATATTAGAGGGTCCTAAGAGCCATGGAACTGAGGAATTGAAGAAATATGAAACTGAATCTCTGGGCCGGATTCAGGGCTTCCAATTCTGAGCAATTTGGAAGCCTGAATCGGGTCCAAAAGTGGCACTATTTGAGCCATTTGCAGAGGGATGGTTTTTAAAATGGCTACTTTCACGGACAGGGACATTTTCTTCATTTTAGGGGTGGTCTGCTTCTGGTGAAAATTTCTCAAAAATTCATTGGTCCCCCCCCCCAATTGAAAGGAAAATGAAAGGGGACATGTGGAACATCGATTTTTCTGTGCAGCCTGAACACCTGTGAGAGTTATTATTTTTAAAATATTTGTGAAGTATGGGGATGTACCATTGCTGTCTGTGGGAATTTATTTGTAGTGGTGCACCCCAAACACACCTCCCCTAGATGTCTGTGAAGAATTCCTCCGATCAATGACCGACACAGAGGTGGGGGGGGTGCTCTCTGTCCCATCTTGCTTCATATGTTAATATGCCTAGCCGCGGTGTGTCTCTCCTGACGTTGCCGCGTCAGTTGAACATGCATGCCAGTGTATCAGCCAACCACTGAACAACATCTACACTCGATTTAATAGCGCGCAAATCAGAATAGCAGCCACTCTCAAAAAAGCACGCATGCCGACCCCGTGTCACGTGATTCATTGGTTTGAAATTGCACATTCACCTTTCTGTACAACGTTCGCCTTGTTCTGTCGACCGCGCACATTGCAGCGACAGACAGCGCACTAGCCACACAAAGCCAGCTGAGGACTCTCTGTTTTCAGTAAGTAACCTATTTGCTTAAATACATGTTAAATTCACTTAAATCATGGAGGAAATGATCACTGGATGCAGGCCCGTAATATATTACCATACTCCACCCCCATCTCCGAATGACCTGTGTCTTTCAGTGTGAGAGTAGCGAATCAGTCGGTGAATTAAGCTATAGATATTTGGCTGTCATGGACATAGAGGCTATCGCAAGACTGTGATGTAGAATTATTTTACTTATCTTTTGAAATTTGCACCTTTTAGTTTCAATTCAACACATGCACGGATCCTTTGAAATATGGAAACGACCTTTGAATGCGTCCCCCGTTTTAAAGAATATTTTGCAGGTCGCTAGGCTTAATGGTCAGTTTTTGAAATTTTAGTCTTGAAAAGGGAGACTTCCCCAATCCCACATGCACACACAAGATACATTGTGATCGGGTTCATGGGATACGCCGTAAATTGAGCTCTCAATCCCTACGCATGAATTACTCGATTCATCTCTCCTCGGAAGAATAAGCCCTTTGCGAGTTGAATTTGAATAAAATCTGGAACACTGAGTTATCTGATTGCACATAAACATAACAATTCGAATTCCCCAGACTAAAGACACTGGTACCCTACCTCGTGATCCGGGGCAAGCTTTTGTATGGCGAGTTAGTGACCATTTCACCTCGACTGGAATGGGCTGGTTCCTTTGTGCTGTCCTATCCTATGAAAACAGTGCACTGGTGCAAGGCGTCTTCTTGAATAACTAAGCAAAGCTCGCCCTGAATCACAAGGTATAGAAAAAGTGTCTTTTGTATGAAAAATTCAATTTATTATGTTCACGTGAATTTAAAGAACTCACTGTGCCGGCTTTTATTAAAATTTAACCCACAAAAAGGCTTATTCCTCGCTGTGCATTATTGCGTTTGCTGTTGAATAGGTAGGGCCTACTCAACATGCACATCAGCCCTTTACTTCACATCGACCTGCAGTCAGCCAATCTTGTATTGGCTACAATATCAACGCCTATACTAGTTTATGTCGATGGTAGAGCTCACCATTGTGCTTTTTATTCTCATTTAGTTTATCATTTTGGGGGTAAAACTGTATTAAGCTTTGTAAAGGATTGTTTTATATTACATGTGCTCACGTTTTAAGGGAGGATTTATTATAAAGTTTTATTTCTTTATTCGTTTTCTCAGAGACCTGTTCTGTTGACTGGAAACCTTTAGGTGTACAGGTGCACATTTCTTTGAATGCGAGTGCGTTAAGCAGCATTGAATTTGATTTCAACAGTTGTCAGTGTCTAGAAGAGAACCAATACGAACAAAAGACCTGAAAGGCCTTCTGTAATACAGCTGAATATGTTGAATTTAGTTTTTTTCGCAATTACACCAGGCCCATCCCTAACACAAGGGGAAAGGTGGCCTCAAGTGAATCGGGAACATTTCTCATCACTGCCTTTTGGGAACCACTAAAAAACAAAGTTGCCTTATTAAAAGGCAGATGTTTGCCTATACTCTCCTGCCGTAGGTTTACTGATTTAGGCGGGAAGTTTGGTATAAAATTATGAAACACAAATTTGACTTCGTCGTGTTTGGAGAACGCCCAGTCTACCCACTTTTATTTTATGGATTTGTAATAGTATTAATGTAGGGCCAGCAGGTTTTGACAGGCGTTAAGATCATCATGAACCAAGAAGGTTGATTAGGTTGCCAGATTTGTTGGTCCCTATTTGACCCTGAAGGTCACAAATGTAAAAATATTTAACGTCCACACTCTAAAAACTCTTGGTTCAGATTGACCCAGAATTGAGTCCCATTCGGCGTGACCCTTTTCTGGTTAAAAAAAATGATCCCCTTTGGGTTCGTATTTGACCCTTTCTGGGTCATAATTTGACCAGGAAAAGGGTCACACCGAATGGGACCCAATTCTGGGTCAATCTGAACCAAGGGAGTTTTTAGAGTGCATTGAAAAGGAAAGGGTGCTTTTACTTCGATTTTTAGATCATGGCATGCAGACCGTATTTTTGAAAGATCGACCGCTTCCCAACTGTTCTTCAAGATGGCATTGGCAGACCCCCAAATTGATACAAAACTAACAGTAGGTGGATTTTGTGGCGTGCCCTATCTTTACCTTTGCATGTTTTGGAGAAAGGAATACAGTGGTGGCCTGGAGAAAAGGTCAGAAAGGATTCTGTCGATCTAATAATAGGGAAAAGATGCAGCCCGTACCACCCAGATAAAGCTTCGCTTTGGGATGTCCGTTTCCGGCTGGGCATTACAGACCCAAGGCTAAAGGCCATGCAGTTGGTTTCGTGCAATTTTTTTAAAAACAACATTGGCATTATGAAAGGTAGGCTCTATAGGTTAGCGCTGTTTCCTCGTTGCTCTGAATTTCCAGCACCTCCGTGTAGTCATTGCAAATCCGTGGCTTCAGATTCAGCCTGTTCTATTCTGCAGATAATCTCCGGTCAGTGCTCTTCGGGTACGCCAAATTGACTCCCCTTTATAGAAGCACCTTTGGCCTGATGATCTGTCATCCAGATCCGCTCGCTGCTTTACATTGAGCTCCCCTAGCTTCATGATTAGGGTCACGGTGGTTCCCTCTCCGAACAGACGTACCCCTTCTGTTTTTGACGTGTCCACAATCGAGAACAATATTAATAGCATATAAAGTAGCCCGCGCTACGTGGTGGGCTTCTTGTAGCCAGAAATATTTCTTGGACATTGATTCCTTTATTGAGGTTTGCCTTACGTGTGTACAATTCCCTTTCTGTTATTCCTGTTTTTTTAACCACTTTTTGTGTGGCTTGGCCTCTAGCTTGTATTTAGCTTTGCTAGCATAACAGTAACCACACTGATTTGTTTTCAATCTTAAAGCTTATTGCTTGTGGAGAAAAGCCCCGATGTCTTTACTGGTCCGGAGGAAAAGTTCAAGAAATTGTATTCAAAGACCTTCAAAATTGCAGTGGCTTATTTTATGAACTTGCACAACCATCACTGCTAAAAACGAAACGATTTCGACTTTCTCGTGATTCGGATGTCCAAGTCATGTGAAACGCCTAGTATCAGGTGTCCCAGTTCACTAACTTCGAAAATGGAAGTCACAACATTACAAAAGAAAAGCCTTAAGCCATAAGTAAACCCATGAGTAAACTTCGCCCAATTCGGGAGCATAGGATTATGAGATGGCAATTAATTATGTTATTTGATTTCTCGACATGTGTACAAAGCATCTTTCTAGTCTATTTACCCTAAACCACAAGGACCTTTTTACTAGGGCACATCCTCAATCCTCCATGCTTCAATAACCATTCATCCCGAATCCTCCCAAATCCTCCAAAACCACTCGGATGATTTTGAAAGATTGAGGCGGGTTTGGGTTAAAGCTACTTAGATTGGGGCTAGATAGAAAGATGGTCTGGCCCGGTTGTTGAGTGATCGGAATGCAGCAAGTACAGCTTTAATTAGCAAGAACTTGCGTCTCAAAATGTCCACCTTACCTCACCACTGTGAGATAAAAGGACTTTTAGTGTAGTATTTAGAAGCATTTATTATTTCCGGTTTATTAATCATGTGCGATTTTTTTAACTTTGAAAATTGCTAGCTGTGGTTTTGCACTCGGGCAAAGAGCCTCATCTTTGGAAATCGCTGGTTGGGAAAACAGTGCTTTTGTCTTCGCAAAATAAAGATCGTTTGTGTTGGTGCGGATCTTCCCGATAGGCAGCGGGCAGCAATGAGTGCCATTATTACGGTGAATGTGTGCGATGTTACAAATATACAGGTAATTGTCGTATTTATCCAACAGATTGTATACGTCAGTGTCAGAGTAAGCTAAGAATGGCGGAAGAGGCAATCGAGGTAATCGAGGCGGCCGAGGAAGCCATCGGCAATGAAGCGGAAGCGGCCGAGGAAGCGGGCCTGGACGAGGAAGAGCTGGAAGAAGTCGAGAAGGAAGTGGCAGAAGTCAAGGAGAACGTCTCCAAACTCGGCAAGGTGGCTGAGTACCTGAAAAGTTTAGAAATTCCACAGACGTTGCTCAAGTTCACCAAGTTCGTGGTGAAGAACGCGGCGGTGGGGGCCATCTTTTACGGAGTCACCGTCGCCCTGACCAAGCTGAGTCAACCGTCGAGCAGCGGCGGCAGCAGCAGCGGGGGCAGCCAGGCAGCTAAGACGAAGTACAACAAGATCAACGCCTTGAGCAGTCTAATCGCGGAGCTGACAGACATCTCACAGACCGTGACGGATTGGCTGAAGGGGCACCAAGATGACACCATCACTCTCGACGGTATCTCTGTGCCCCTGATTGACATCTTCTCCAAGTACACCACAAAGATGGGACAGGTGAGTCCGTTAGAGCGTTTTCGATTCCATAAACCTGAAGCTCAGGAGAATTCTGGATTTTAGATTTCTGTTTGTTTTTTGATTCATTCTATTTTGCCATTTGCGGCAATTTTGATGCCAACCTTTCCATGAAAGATGAATTCTCTACCATATGTTGCTACTCTTGCCGGTATTTGTTGTGCTTCCTTTTCTGGTCAGGATAAATTTCAAACTTTTTACTTTCTGTTCAAGATATTTCATTAAGCACAAAATAACTTATCTGATATTAGTCCTACAAATTAAAGAGACCTTTTTTAATTGTGGGAAATGTACTCCCGATAGACGTATGAGTCTCTAAAGACAAAAGAGTGAAAAAATAAGGGATTCTCACTCAGAAGAAGTGAGTCCCATATAGGACCACTCCAAAAGAGAGAAAACTCCAAACTCCACAAAAGTAAAATAATTTGCTCTGCCAAGAAACCATTCAAAAGACCATTTTAGAAGGATTTGTCTCTTTTCTGGCTCTTCTTTTTGAGTGACGTTCACTTATTTGGATTTGTTTTCGCTCTTTAGGAGTGGATTTATTAGGGACTCGCATTTTTGAGGTTTTCACTTGTTTGCAATGAGGGAGTATAGTACTTCCACATTTCTGAAAAATTAAGGGAATTTGTAAAAAGGAAAGATACAGGAACATTTTCTGGATTCATGAGCGTGTTGGCCCTTATTTATGACAGGCCGTTGATGATGCTTATGCAGTTGCCAAGACCCTCATAATCGAGACAGACGGTAAGAAGACGTTCTCCATTCCAACCACAGACCAAGTCGTCACTGTCATCACCGCTTGTGATTCATTCATCACTGCGTTTAGTGAGATGGTCACCTTTGCTGATGAGAAAAAGGCCGAGTTTTCAGTCCTGAGTACGCTTCCAGTATCACAGAGCGATGTCGTTACTCTCATTGCCAAGTTGAATGACCTCAAAGCTCTTCCATATGCGTAAACAGAATGTGTTTACTGACGGTCTTGAACAAAAAATAATTCTGATGAAAGTTGACATAGATTTCAGTTTGAGAACGAAAAATGCCGGAGAAACATTTGAACGTGCGCCCTCCTAATTACCGTACCCATGCGTTACCAACTGAGCAATTTTGCCCTGTCAAGTGATCTCTCTAAATGTAAACTAGTAAAAAACACCACTAATTATATTTCGTTGTGTCCCTAACACGGATTTTTACAAATGCAGATAGCCCTCTTTGGCCCATAATTTTTTTCTGTTATTTGCAAAACCATGAAAGTACTATAACTTTACTTTGATTATATAATTATTGGGCAATTCCACGGTATTGAGCGTACGTTTTGGTTCTGAAGAGTACGGAATTAAAGTTATACACAATGTCACAGTTTAGGTTGAGAAAAGGTTTAAACTAGTTACTGATTTCAAAAGAGAATTGTTCATGAAACCTTTACTGTCTTACTGTCGAAATGGCTTAAAAACGCCAAGGTGTTGGACGTATCCTTGAAAACTTCTTTAGGAGTTTAAATTTGTGGAAACCGTAACTTTATCCGTTGGAGTTACATGTCTGACATTGCATATAAACAAGGTTGGAAATAACCAGTCTTAATAAATGAATTGGTTTTTATGTTTCAAAGAACGCTTTGACAATAAATGTGTCCTTCCTCTCTGTCTTACAGCAGGAAGCCTCAATATTGTTCACACTTAGCATGCTACCAAGGCGCAAAAGAAAACACCAAAACCCTTATATTTACCACTAGACCACTTTTTAATCAATAAATTCGCGTTTGCTTGTTAGAACTTCTCAGCACGTCACTGAAATAAAACACGTTTTCCTCCTTTACTTTCAGGTTATATGTTTGAGAGTGTGAAAATTATTTAGAAATTAGACAATTAGAAAAAGCTGGTATTTGGGGTGATTTAACTTCTCGGTAGTATATTCCTATAGGTTTATTTTACGTTTCGTCGTTGGGTAGATAGAGTATTGTTCATTTGCATCTGAGAGGTACATAAATGACTATCAATTGTAAGAAGAGCAGCATTATAAATTTTCCCGCGTGATCCATTATTTTTCCCAAGGGGAGTTGTGATGTCCAACTTAAAGTCTTCAAACATATGCGTGAAATATAAACAGTATCGAAGCGACCCCCCCCAAAAAAATACATGGCTATGCCTGTGCTTTGGTAAAACAAACGGGGAAACGCCCACGAACTAAGTAACCAGCATTCCTCCGAGTAAATGCGGATTGTTTTATTCGTCGCTCACCCAAAGGACTGAATTACGGTCGAAATGCATGCAACTCTTTAGCCCGGGGGGGGTTAAACGTGTCATGGGCAGGAAGAAAAACGAAAGGAAACAAACAAAAACTTGGAAACGGGGAAGGTTGCACACCAAGCCAAAGTAATATGGTCTGTTAAACGGTAGCTGCAACCAATTCGTTAATACAAACCTCCAAAATGAACCATTGTGTCTCGGTTCACCCAATTTCAAATTTTGTTTCACTACTTCAAAGGGTATTTTACTGTCTTTTTGGTTTATATGCTACTGACTATTTCCATATTCAGAAGCAAAACTGGGACGTCATCTGAGGAAGAAGCTTCAATGTCACATTAAATTTTGTAAAAGCACAAGCTCTGCATTTTTGTGGATTTTCCTGGACTCAGTTTTCTCTTCTTCTACATGGATGATATACCGTCGTATTAAATTGTATTAAAGTTATGTTTAATGAATTAGGATGCGTATTATGTTCTTTTTGATACTAATCAGAACCGTTTCATGAATGGCAAAAACATTTGACTGTTACTTTACATTGCTTTATTTTGGTTAGTATTTTGCGGTGTAAAGTTTAGCGTTCATAAACAGCTCTAGCTTTTGTGAAAAGCAAGGACTAGTATGTTAAAAATTTGTCTACAGTAAGGCCGGCGTGAGATGAAATTTTGATTCCCTTATTAGCATAAATTCATGTGCAGTATAGTACTACCATAACAAGGTCTTCCTATCGTCTTACATTACAACTAGTACGACTAGTCTAAGTGAAGAGACTATAAACGGCAATACGTGCTGTTTGTGTGTTCGTGAAAATACAATGCATTTTAGGTTGTTGGTGAGAAAGCACCAACGTAATAAGCACATGTAGGCCTATAAACATACCCTTTTTCGTGCAAAAATTCTATAAATTAATAAAAGGAACTTACTCCTGTACTCCACGAAAAAAACATCCATCCAAACACTTGAATTATTCTTGTTGGAAGGGTGAAGTGGTTTGGACTAGCGTAAAGGTCGCACTCCTCTGAGGAGATTAGTGAATGCAGGCGGCATTGATCTTTTGGAACCTATCTGGCTAATCGGTGAGATTTTCATGGCTAAACTGACACACTTTCCCATCTTCAATGGTTCCCTTGATGTCGAAGGAGCGACATCGAGGTTCCTTCAGGCAGGCTAAAGCACATCTCGAAGCACTCTTTGTGACTGATTCCCTGTTGAAATAATTCACGAGGCAACGGGTGAGTTGCTGCTGGTCACTGCTTTGAGAGAATTCTTGGTGCTGGATTTGAGCTGGTGAACGTAGGACGCACATTGCTTGAGGTGCGCTCTCCTGTGCGCATGGAATATCATTCCACTGTTGGGATGATGTATCCATATAAGCACAGTAATCGGTGTAGGGGATAAAACCATCCCTGTTGGTTGGTTCCGCGGGACGCCAATTGGAATAGCTGTGGCCCACCTCCTGACCTTCGCATCTCCACGTTTTATGTGAGATTTTGCAACCAACCCACAACCATTCACCACCCCCTAACATGTCGGCCATGAACACATTCTCCTCTTCGGAGTGAGGTGCCGCTATCACGGCTCCCATATCCCGACAAAGCGCCTCGTTCTGATTCCAAGTAACAGGTTGACCCGTGAGGCGATAACAGGCAGTTTGCCACGGTGTCCACAATAGCGGGCAATCTGGAAGAGCCAAGATGACAGAAGCTATACAGAGCACTGCAGCGACAGGAAAGAAGCTGGGGCGTAACCCTCGGCAAAACATTTTAGCTTGGATTGGGAAAACGTTGGAAATCGTTTCTGTTAATATTTACGCAGAAAAGAATGCTGGCTAGAAACTGCTTGGCAAGTTACGGTGGCGTTAAATATACAGTCGAACGTGTCAGGACTGAAGATCTAGCGTTTCGATTCCAGCAGAAATTAATCTTGAAAGGTCGATGCTCCAGATCGAGCTATGAGCAACAATCAACACTTGACTCCTTTGCATGCATGTTCCCCTCCTCAAAATAAAACTTAGTGCGCCGTCGCGAGTTAATTTGACGATGTTACCAATTCATTGTCAGCAACAAAGAATGTCAGCCAGCGTTCGGTTTGTCTTTTGATACGGACGGCTGCACACCGATTTTTGATCATGACTGGTAGCATTGTATTGAGCACGGCCTGCGCCTGGGTCTTCGCTTTATTGGAGCGGTATCCGGTTCGTGTGACGTCACCTCAGTTTAAACCACGCCCACTGCATATGCACTGCACATAGAGTTACATGTATTGATCGTCGTTTACTCGAACCACGGAATCGGAAGTTAACGCGCAACTTCAGCGATCGTCCAATGGGAGCCTGTAAATTGTGGCGCGTCTTCGTTTGTTACGAAATCACGTACGGGCAGATTTTCTCCGACGTATGCAAAACGTAATTTTTCATCCTTGGAGGCCAACTGCCACACGCACGCGTGGTAACTGAATTACACTGTACGGTCAAAATGATAAACGTATTGTTATCTTATTACATTATTCACCTTAGAAGCTGAAAAATAGCGGAAAAAAGTTGATGTTGTTTCGGTTCTCCAAGCTTTCGCAATTGGTGGCCATCAAAAAAGCTTCATAAAAGAACTTTTATTTCCAAACTGTAGGGGAAAGCTCGATCGTTTTCGATTGATTTCGCCGAATTGTGCCCATTATTATTATTCAATTGTTATCATTATTTTGAAATTCCTGTTTGAAAAATCTGCCATAACACCAGCATGTGGAGTGGTTTCAACATTTCATAGCTCAAGCTCTGTGTTCATTGTAAGAACTTTCGGTCAAAATATCCGGCTGCCTTTCAAACTTTACTGACATAATTTTTTCATAAGTGGAAATGGAGTCATCATGACCACCGTCAAAAGCAGACGAGCTGCCAAGTTTAACGAACCGGCGTCAAACAATGTACCGGCTCGTTTGACTTCGTCACGATGGGTTTATTGCGAGAGGTATCATTGTCGGCCTTCAAGCAGCCAGTGTCAAGTATTGAACGGTTCACAATTTTAGATCTTGTGCGAGTAGCGGACTTTGCATCACTAGTTAATGATCATCAAACCATAAAATTTCTGTAGATCGGCAGAATGCGAGTTGTAGCCATGACTTGCCCACCAACGGCTGCTGGGGAAGGTGGTGCCACCGTTTTTCGATCTTTGCAGGAAAATGTTTTAAGGTGTGTCATATCGATATTTTTCTGTTGGTGTTATGAGCTGCAAACAAGTATTCGCGTTGTTGGTAGGCATGAGATGAATACGCAAACTGGAGCCCTGTTACCCCCAGGGTCACTTTATTTTCAGCTTCTCATGCAATATTAACCTTTGCCTTACGAACTTTCTTCCTGCCCCCTGATGCCAACAAATTACTCTAGGGAGAAATACTTTTTTATCACTATTATCTTTGCTGCCAAATTAAAACAGTTTCCTCGTTTAAACGACATAGCTACAGTTAACAAAAATATTCATACCCTTTGTAAATTTATTTTGTGTCTATGTGTTTTTTTCTAAAGAATGAAGGATGGGCACATAACATTTGAGCAAAAAAATTAACTCGGTCCCTGTTCACCGTTATTCCCCTCAGTAGTAAACACCAACGCGGCTCTCAACTCTCGTTACGCTCATCAACGTTTGGTTGACGCAACACACCTGTGAAGCCGTTACTTCACGTGCGAAATATCTCGTTCTACGCACCAACGAAGAACGGACCACTTATTCTAACTACATGTGCAGAATAAACCGTTACTCTTTCATGTGGCTTACTACCTCTATTCCACGCACCAACGCAGAACACACATCCACACTCACACAAAATTATCCCAGCACCAAGAGAGAACACTATACAACTAGAACAAAAATACACTTCCTGCTGGAGATAACCTAGCAGTCACAATCAGCCCCTCTGGAAACCCTAATCATTGACATGACATAGCCCGCCAGCGACTATATCTAGCAGTCTCCTTGTCAACCATGCATACATACACCGTGCAGCTATTCTAAGTCAACCATACAGGTTCAGCAATCAACTGCATCGGCAGTACATTTCCACCCACACGGGCATGCATCCCTTTGCCTTGAGGCTGCTTTGTTAGTCTCTTGTCCGAGTAAGAAACAAGGTACAGAAGATCTCGCCACACTTTCATTTTTTAGTTAGTACATATGTACTGAGAACAATTTGCAATTGTAACGTGTGTCTCACGTTCTGGTCAGGTTCCCTAGAAACTTTAATTGAAGACAAAAAGGTTTACCACATAACATTCCAGAAGTTTTAGGATCGAATAAGAAAATTGATAAATAGTGATGTTCTTTCTGGGGCCTTAGTTTAAAAGAGGAAGGATCATAAGACAACTTTTTTAAACACTTTATAATACCTGACAATTTTTTAAGGAATTTACATTTGTTCATTATAAAATCTCTTTGGCACCATTTTTATTTAAAATTACCACTCAGTCATCTCACTCGGAATGTGGTCCAAGAAGGGAATCAAAACAGTCTGCATTGGTACAATCTGGGTTTTCGCTCTGTCGTGCCTGTCTTCTTGCCAATCGTGACAGCTTTTCGTCAACTTCTATCAATCCAGCAAGGTTCATTCCTTTAGCATACCACTTTCTGTGAAAGGTGTCGACGTTGTCACGTGCCTTTAATTTTAACAAAGTATCAAATGGAAGAATGTTGACCGTCAAACTATAGACTTATGAAATGGACATCGTAGATTTTCTGTAGAATTTGCTTAAAGTTGAAATTAGAATTTTTTAACAAACAGTGAACG